AGCATGGATGGCTGGATGGAGACGATCATGAGGTTGAAAGGGGCTTCTATGTCACGGGGCCTGTGGGCTCACCTACCTGGAGAGACTCCCCACTCTGGAGGCCTTACCTTAAAGAGGGACATTCACACTGAAGCAAACTTGAAAAGAGAGAACACGTACACAAGAGAAGTTTACTCGGCCAGCATTTCCCTCATTGCTTTTGATGCTCACTGAGGACAGCTTGGATTCCGGGGAGGCAGAGCTCTCCCTCCTGTACTGCTGATCCCCACTCCAGTGCTAAAGTCCTGGAGGCCATAGTCTCAGGGTCTATCCTCTGGGGGGCAAGGAATGGGTATGCAAGAGGGAAGCTGGGAGCGAGCAGAATATCCCCAAGATCAGATGATCCCTTCAACCAAACATACCACTCTGTCCCTATTGTCCCCAGAAAGTAAGCCCACCAACAGCACAAGAGCTAAGTGCGCTACTTTCACTGGTAATGCCACCATCTCCAAAAAAATCCCCAGCAGACACACCAGTGGATTCCATGTGTGGACATTTTTTCTGGTAGCAAAGAGTTTGGCACCACCCTGGCTGGCTTTCCTACTCACATGCCCCCCACTGCTGGGAGATGCCATCAAACATCCCCCTCTGTGCACCCTTGCTCTGAAACCAGCCTCCCCTAGAACACTGATTTGAGTAAATGTTGGCTCCAAGTCTTAGGTTAGGTACTGATGGCACCTCACTTGCACAAAATCAGCTCAGTGTGTGGGTGGGTAGAGGGTGGCCCGGAAGAATTAACTAGGAGCGTGGAGGACACATGAGAGGGAAACCTCCACGAGGAAGCAGAGGTCACTGAGAAGTACCCTGGGTGGGGTTAGGACAAAGGGTGATAACCTGAAGGCAGGAAGCCCAGGGGGAAGTAAGGGGAGAGGTTACACAGGAGGTTTGTGCACGAGGGAAGCAGAACTCTCAGCTTAGCAAACTTCTCAGAAAGGCAAAAGCCTGTAGGGACAGCAGGCAGCTGAGATAACGATGGAACATGGCTAGAGGCCAAATTCTAGCTTCAAACCTGGACAACCTCCCCTATCTTCAAAGGGGCAGGGAAACCGGCCTGAGAACTGTTCTAACACATCCTCAGCTCTGTGGGCATGAGCCACCAGAGAGAGGGCAGGGTCTATGTGCATCTGTGTGGTGGCAGGGCAGGACCAGGGGCTCTAGAAAAACATGCTGCTGTGACCTGGCCTTTCTAAGTCTGAGGCTGGCCAGTATGACCACTCTGGCCTCACCCGAAGCACGAAAGAAGCCCCCTGTTAAAACCAATTCCTTCCTGAATGAAACTGACAGGGTATCCCCCCATCAGGTGACTCAGGCTCTGCACAGCTAGCCGAGCAGCTGGGCAATACCAACTGAGTAGCTTTCTGGGGACAGTAACATCCTGGTGTGAGGTCATAGGGGCATGGCTCAGGAGCTAGCCCCAGGCAGGAGATACCTAGAGCTGCTGCCCAGGCTGCAGCCCTTGACCACATCACCCTGGGGATGCTCAGTCTTCAGATGGGGGGGTGTGTTGTACAACTGCCTTCCTGGATTCTTTAAACACATGCCCAATATCTCCTTGTAACCACCTCCAACTGCAGGGCTAGTGATCTAGTGATGTCTGCTCACACATGTGATCTTTCCCTTCTTGGATTGTCTTTCCTTTGACTTGGAGTCTGTCCCTGAGGCCCGGGATCATAGAACCTCATACTATTTTTGGCTGTTCTTTGCCAGGGATGGGCTCTGAGCTAGCTTACCTTGCTCCCTCTGTCAAAGACCTTTCTTCCCCAGCTCTCCCAGGAAGGTAACAGATGTGGACTCAAGTTCTAGGACACCTTCAGCTCATGGAAAGCCAGGCTTGAGAGAGAGCTCCTGTCCTATGAATAGAAGGATGACTTCTGCAGGGCCCTGCCTTACTCCCCAGTGTCTCCCCAGTGACCTCTTGTGGGTGGCAGTCCATTCTGCCTGCAGTAAGGCTGCACCTGCTTACGGAACACAGAAGTATCTTCACTGGTGCCATACGAGCTGGGCACACACCCAGGGCTCTGAGTTGGTCGGGGGAGGGGAGAAATTGTATAAACCTGGTATGAGTGTTCACACTGGCCCCGCTGGGCTTTGTGAGTCACTGAGTAGCTTAAATCAACTTCACATCTGTTCCTGCCAAACTCCAGCCCACAGGTAATGCAGACTGAGGCCAGCTCCTTGTTTCAAGAAGAGTCTTCCACTTAGGGCCACAGTCAGGACATACTCCTGACAGCTAACTAGCTATGAGCTATCCTTTTCTTTTCTAATTTAGATTTTTCTCTAGAGAGAAAGCTCAGGTCCTGGGGACAGACACATGATAGATATTCAAGGAGACTGAACAAGTTTCTGAGGAGGACCCGTAGCTGAGTGCTCTGTGGGAACCCATGTGTGTCAGCCAAGTGTGACCAGAAACACTCCCGGCACAATGTCTCATGTGCCCTGCTGTCCAATGTCTAATTCTCTCCTCCAGCTGCAATCACACCGGCCTAATAATACCCTCTTCTCAGAGTCCCTCGTACCCCAGTGCGAAGGATAACCTGAGGTCTCGGGGGCAGAGTAGGAATGTGGGAAGACAGTTTCCCTCTACAATGGTGAGCACCATCTTTAGGAACTAGGATGAGAGAAACATTTGGATGAGGTTGGCCCTTTCTCTTTGCCATCTCAGGAAGTCCTAGTGGTTTATGCTCTGGGACCCCTGCCCAGGGAATTACTTCCTCCTGCCAGTTCCCAGGGGTCTCTCAGATGCCTACCCACAGAAGCACCACCACAAGGGGCCAGGAACAGCAGGAAAAAGCTTCCTCGCTGTGTGAGTCAGAGCAAAGCCTCTACACTGGTGGTAGGTGAGGCGTGGGCCTTCTTGGGTTCTCTGTTCACTCTTGGCCTCTCTCCTGAGTCAAGTTCTGCCTTAGCCTGATGCTCACAGTCCACACTCACCTGCTCCTCACAGCCTTCCCCTCATCACCCTCATTGAGGCGGGGCTGGGCAGTGCGACTCCTTGGAGGTCTATGCCCTTCATGAGCACATGTTTTACTCTAAAGACCGGAAGTCCCCATGAGGAACTCCTGGGACTGCTGGGGCCTCAGGAAGGGTTTGGGGACAGAAGTCTCTCTCAGTGCTACTTGAATCTCAGTATGTGCACCTCCAATGGGGTTGAGTAAGAACATCTAAGAGAGGCCTCTGACAGTTAAGGTCCTGTGACCCAGGGAGAGACTTGTCTGTACAAATCCCTACATTAAAATGGCCTTTGGACTTTATGGATAAAGCTCTTCCCTCCTTCCTTTCTCCAAGGGTCTTTCTGCAGATTCCCACACCAGCCACTGCTCCCCCTCACACCCTCACTGCCCCTGCTCCAGATCTCTCCATTCACACCCCACAAGAGGGGCTGCTCCACCATCCCTCTCTGGCTCAGTTGAACCTGGTGCTCCTTGAGCCTGTTTAAAGTGGCTGTGTTGACCTAGAGTCTTGAGGGACGTTCAAGCCATTTTGTAGATGGGTGCTGACATCTGCTTAGCTTGGGATCTCATCCTGAGTTTCAGCTGGTTGGGCCTGAACTCTTTACTTAGGTTTACTTTCCATTTCTCTTAGGGATAATTAACTTAGATTAAATCTAATAAATATTCATCCTCAGATCTGAGCCTTTAATTTTGTCCCCCTCTGCCAGGCCTCTGGTGAGTGACCTCCACCATTTTGTTGGGGGCTCAATTAAGCTTGTCCTTTAGACCGCCTGTGGAGGCTCCCAGCTATCAGGCAGGTGGCACATGCAGAAGCCCTATGGCAGTGGGGAAGAGTCATCCTGAGGAACTTGTACCCCAAACTTTCCTGGTCCACCAAATGCACAGCATGGGCTTGGCACAGGGGCCTGGGGCTGTGGTTAGGTCAGGGCGCAGAGGAGAAAAATGAACCTAGTTCTAGCCCGTCCCGAGCTACGTGCTCCCCCACAAAAGCCATGCAAACCAAAGGAGGACGCACATGAAGATCGATGACAGGATCAGTGCCTACCCAGGCTCAATTGTGCTGTCAGCTGAGGACGACCCTCACGGAACACTTGAGAAACCGCAGCACTCTTGATAATGGCTCCTCAAGTAGAATGGGGTTCTCCTCTGCAGATCCACAGAGCACCTTCTCTGTACTCAGTGGTACGGAGGGGCCTCCTCCACAGAATGTGGGCAACTGAGGCATGACTGGATGATCTTGGGGCTTCCCTGCCTGGGATCCCAGCCTCACAGCTCTGGGCTTCTGCCCAATAACCTCGATCAGCTCCAAGAGCTGGCCAGCTGGCTCTCATTCTCCATCTGGGTGACTGATGGTTTCACTGGGCTACAGAATTAAGAATTAAGACCCCTCCCCACATCCATTTCCTCCCACCCCGAAGCACACTGCCAGGCCTTTCCACTCCAGTGGAGTCTTTGTTTTCTGAGACAAGTTCCTCTCCAACCTCTGAACTCCAAATACCCCTTTTCCACCTGCTGGTAACAGGCACTACACACCTGCATCTGACTGAGAGCAGAAAGGACTCTGAAATGGCCCCAGGAAGTAGCGTCTTTCAGGTGAGACTCCCACATGCTCCCACTGGACAGTTAGGGCCTGGACTTCACACTTCACGCCCGTGCCACATGGTGAGTAGGACCCATATTTAGTTAACATTTTCCTTTAAATGGGCTCCTTTAGGAATAGCCCCATTTATCTATAAGGAAATCTTACATCTCCCCTGACACAGAAGGTTAGCACCATTTGGAATTGTTTGATTCAAAGAAGAAAGTAGATGTCACTCTGGCTACTGCCAGAGGTTGTGTGTTTTCAGTCAACACTTTGGCCTAAGAAACTGGCCATGGGGTGTCTGTGCTGCCTCTGGCTGTTGTCATCTGGGCCATGAAACACGCTTCACTTCCCGGGCACATGCAGTGAGAAGCAAGAGACTGGCCTGACCCACAGGGTGGGCAGACGGGGCTTGGGGCTTGACTTACAATTCTCGGCTTGAAGGGCGGCTTGATCTTCTTCTGCTCCAAGAGCACCCAGTCGATCTCCTTGAAAAAGGGGTGCTGCTTGATGGCGTCCTCACCATTCTGTGCGGCCACACAGCCCAGGCGCTTGTGTGGGTTCTTGGTCATGAACTACGGGATGAGGACATAGCACAGTATCACCCACAGGTGGCAGAAGTCAGCCCAGCAGCCTTGCAGTCACCTCCCAGGCCTGCTGTTGCACCGTGCAGACCCTCACTTCTCAGGGTAACTTTACCTAGGTGCAGTGGTTGCCAGCCACCTTTCTAACCTAACCGTGGCAGAGGTGTTCACTTATTTCTTCCTTATCCAATAAGCTCTATTTCACAAGGTAGGTACTCAAGGCAGGGAGAGGTTAATTAACTGGGCCACAGTCACACAGTTAGCAAGGTCCCAAGTCGAGATCAGGATGTCAAGCTCTTACTAACTCTCGGAGCCCCTTCAGAGTCCCAAGCCGTCACGATCCAACAAACTCATTTACAGTGGGCAAGTCCATTTGGGGCGAGGAAAGACTAGTTATATGTGAGTGGGTAAATAGTCAAACACACTTCCTCCCCACTCCTCTTCTTGGACTTGGACCCTCCTCACTTTTTAATAAAACCACATTGGCATGCTTTATACTTTCTGGTGGTGTCTTGTAACCCCCACACACCCAGGGGAGTTTAGTAAATGAGTCAGTTCTGATGCTAAATGTCACATTGATACCAATATAACTTCAACTAAAATGCGAATAGGTGGGAATTCTTCTGATAGCCATCTGGAATCCAGACGTGTGCGTTGTGCATGCATGTGCATGGGTGCACAAACACAGGCTGTGCACATGTATGCATATATGTGTGTTAGAGACAAAGGGGGCATTTCACAGGGTGAAGGCTGCACTTCTGTATCTAAACAAAGGAATTAGACAGGACAAAAAAGCTCCAAAGGAATAAATCTATAATGGTTGAGTTTGGGGATTCATCACCAAGGGAGCTCTTCAGGTCAGGGACAGCCTCGTGCTATCCCTGGCCCCATGGGCTGGAAAGTGGGTCAGGTGGGCACGGGCTAAATGCTAGGGAGAGGGGGGAAGGGATGGGGCTCTGAGGACTCAAACTAGAATGGGAGCAATTCCTTTCCTTTTCCCAATCTTTCCACCAGCAAGGTCACCCGAGCTCTAACACCTCAAGGGCCCACGCCACGAGGCCTATACTTTTCAGTCTGCCTCACAGCACCTCTGCGGTTGGAACCTCGTCTATCTCGCTGGGCCTTTGCCACTTTAATCCCTCGGGCTGAATGCCCCTCTCCAGGTCCTAGGGTTCCCTAAGATCCACTCAAAATGCTGCCTCCTCTGTGATGCTTCTCCAGATCCTTTTTCCTCTGTTGACACCCTGGAGCCCACGGTTCTTGTCTATATAAAGTATAATTAATCTGAGTATCTCTTTCCTTTGGTGAGCTCTATGGTTTACAACTTAGTCTAATCTGTCTAGCACCTGGCTTAGTGTCTGCCTCTCACTGTGCACTCAGGAAACTATAATGACTGAGTAGGAGGCTCTAGGCTGGGCCAGAGGGCAATGTGCTAAAGAAGCGCAGCAGGATGGCCAATTACTGTTGCATATGTTGTGCACTGTAAAATTCTACAATGTAAACAGACTTCTCTAGAGTTCAGTGCCACCTTCACATAGGCAGCAGCCCTTAGGGGACAGTTCATGTCCAGAGTCATAGAAAATCTGTTCTGGCTCTAGAATCAAGACACAATGTGAGGAAGCAGTGTCCCGAGGCCAAGGGAGGAGAAGACTCCTGCTCACTTCCTCTCTTCCTGCCTCCCTCTCCTGGGGTGGGAAGGGTGGGGTGTATGGGGCAGGGAGGGACGTCTTGGGACACCTCCCCTGAGCTGCCACACCTTCTCACAGACACAAACCAGCTAATAGAGCACACCTCTGACTTCTGACTCTTCTCGGGTCATTTTCTTAATCTCAGCGCTCCTGACATTTGGACCCGATACTTCGCTGTGGGGACCGTCCTGCATACTGGGGGCTATTTGGCAACTTTTTTGGTGTTTACCCTTTTCAGGCTAGTAACAACCCTCCCCCATGCCAAGTTGTGTCAATGAAAGCATCTGCAGACACTGCGGAATGAGTGTGTGTGTGTGTGTGTGTGTGTGTGTGCACGCGTACACACACGGGATAGGGGGCAGTGAAGAACTGCAGCTCTGGGTCCCCAGGGAACACAGGAAGGTGTCTGTCAGGACACAGGCAGTGGCCTGCTCAGCTAGATGCAGCTCCCTGGCTCCTCAGGGGCTCTGGGAATTGGAGCAGGAGAAAGTTCTGTCTCCACCCCTGACAGTCACCCAGGGACAGCCCTCTCGGCAACCTGTGTGGCAGCTGCCCTCTTACCGCAGCTGTAGAGTGGAAGGACAGGCAGACCCAAGGGGCTGTCTGTTGAGATCCCCCATCCAGAAAAAACAAGATACATGTAGAATCTTTTAACATTTGTAAAAAAAATAATAACCAACATCTGTATTGCTCATATACACGTAGAGAAGTTCTGGAAGAATATCTAAAAAAAAAAATCTATAAAACAAAGTTACCCATGGGCTGGAGGGTATAGGAAATGGACAGATAAAGGAAGCAAGGCTAGGATAGAAAGCTTCTGATGTATCCCTTTTTATTGCTTTTCCTCTTTTAAAGAGCACATGAGCTGGGTGTGGTGGCACAGTTTTGTAATGCCAGAGCTAGGGAGGCTGAGGCAAGATGACTGCCCCAAGTTTGAAGCCAGCATGGGCTACGTAGCAAGTTCAGACCCACCCTGAACTACATAGTGAGACTCTGTCTCAAAACAAACAAACAACAGTCAACCATGTGAATGCATCACCTGTTCAAATAAGCAAGAAAATACTGAAGTAAGTAAAGTCTTATGAACTTGGAGAAAAGCCTTCATTGTGAAAAGTTGGGTGACTCAGCCCCCTAAGGCAGATTCCTCCCTGCTGGATGGTGCAGGGCGCCTTTCCCAGCCAAGACTGGGCTTTCCTGGAGGGAAATTAACATGGAGGCGCTGGACAATGTCACTCCATAGTGCCACTTGTGGATACCGAAGGCCTGTCCCCTCTAACCTGCCTAGGGTCATGTCGGTCTCAGCTCTGCACTGCATTCCATGATGAGGAATGGGACACTGTGGAGACAGTAGAGATGCTCTCTGCCCTTCTAGAGCAGGCCGAAGAGTAGGGGAGGTGAAAAAGGTGCTGAAAATTGCCCCCATCGATTAACTGATTTGGGGATATGTTATGGTTTATGTCTAAAATGTTCCCCCAAAGTCTCGTGTGTTCAGAGGTGACGCTTTTGGAAGGTGACTGGCTCACGGGGGCACCAAAATCATAACTGGGTTGACCCACCACTGGGTGCGCAGCTGAATGTGGTGTTGGGAGATGGGGGGTGGTTGGAAGTGAGTCACTGAGGGCCTGTCCTGGAAGGATGTGTTCTTGTCCCAGCTTCCTCCCTGGCTGCCATGTGTTGGGCAGCGGTTCTCTGCCATGTGCTTCTGCCATGGCATTTCTGCCCTGGAAAGGGCAGATGATCTGAACCCGGATGACCATGGACTGAACCCAAGGAAACTGAACCAAAAATAAGCCTCTCCTCCTTTACATAGTGGGTGTTGGGTACTTTGTCCCAGGGACAGGGAAGTGACTAATGCAAGATAAGTAACACAAGAGAAATACAGCAGTCTGTGAGCCTGTAATAGGGAGGTGTCTCTCTGAGACAAGGAAGCTGGCAAAAGTTCTCCAAAGAAGCAACATCGAGGTTAGTACTGGAAGGAGGCCTGAGAAGGATCACACAGAGGGGCAGAGAGCAACCAGGGGCAGGGAAGGCTGCAGAGTCCTTGTGCACGGGTCAGTGTGGCGGCCCAGCCATGGAAAGAGCACTGAGTGGCAGACGGGGCGCACGTGGGACCTCAGACCACACTGAAGATACAAGTGTTTCTCTGATCTCAGTGTACAGTTGTGGCTGAGTTTTAAAAAGGGCACGAGGCAGAGGATGCTCAAAGTGCAGCGATGACGAGAAGGCGCGAGGGGCCCCACAAGAAGATCTTGTGGTTCCCCAAAGGAGATGTGGGGGTGGCTCATGTGGGGTGGTGGTGGCAGGAAGATGGAGAAAGACAATCGGAAGGGAACATTTTAGGAGGGAGGATGGACTCTGCGATTGGCTAAATGTGGAGGGAGAAGATGAGGTCAAGGGGTGTGCCCACATTTTCCCTGTGCAGGGAGAGGGTGGGAGTAGGGGGAGGTGTTGAACGCAGGAGCTTGGGAGCAGATCGGATGTGATGATTATGAGTTCAGTTTTGGGGTGTAGAGAATGTGGGGGTCTCTGGACAGTGTGGTGGTGGTATCTGGCTGAGGCACACACTCCTCAGCTGCAGCGTGGATGGACAGTGGGGCAGAGCAGAGAGTGCCAGGCTACAGAGAGCACAGGTGTGGAAGGCTACAGGGCTGGAGGTGGAGGGTCCAGGGCTCAGTCCCAGGGAAGAGCGAGGCAGTGGTTGGAATCTGTCCATTTAAGGACCCCACAGGCACTAATGAGTGATACCAGCAAAGGAAAAGGAAGGGCAGGGATCAAAGACTGGGACCCAAGGGTGTCCCCTGAGAGGCTTGCATTAGTCCCATAATCCCTTTTTTTGGTACTGGGGATTGAACTCAGGCCCTGTGCAATCCCTGGCCCCTCCCATAATTCTTTTGATGGAACCAGTCCTAATCATTTGCCATACATGAGATTTTACATACGGATCTAGGTTTCAGGCTTCCTTTTGAAAACCAGGACTGTGATGATGTCCCCATTGCTATGGGGTAAAATTGGCTGCACCCAAGGAGTGGACACCCTGAGACAGGTATGGGAGGACCTGAACACTCTGACCACACATCCAGGTCATGTGCCTGGTCATACCTTGGCCTCTGGGGCCCTTTAACTGCATCTGTGAAAAGTGCTCAGAGCTGAGACGCTCTCGCTGGGGCTGTACCTTCCAAGCTTCTTCAAATGCCTTACCAATGCCTGTGCATGCCAGGCTCTCGGTCCCCAGGGGTTCCTCTGTGAAGCAAGCTGAAAACATTCCTGCCCTCAGGAGCTAACTTCTTTGTGCAAGGAAACAGGCAGTAAACATAACAGACAACTTATACAGGATGTCAGAAGAGTACGATGCTGTTAGGAATAAATGAAACAGGGTAAGGGGGCACAAGGAAGGTAGCAAGTTCTGACTTCTCAAGGAATGAGACAGAATAAGGGGTGAGGCAGTAAGGAAGACAGAGGGAGGTGGGAGAGAGTGTGTGTGTGTGTCCCAGGGAACAAAACCCTAGGTAAGGGCAGTGACTCACAGCTTTCAGGATGCTGACAGCTTCCTTGCTCAGCCAGACAGGGTAGAGCACATCGTCATGGAGGATGGATTCAAAGAGGTCGTCCTCATTGTCAGCCTCAAAGGGGGGCTGCCCAGCCATCATCTCGTACATCAGCACCCCCAGGGCCCACCAGTCCACAGAGGGGCCGTACTCCAGCTCCTGTAGGATCTGTTCACAAAACAGGCAACATCAGGGCCCACCAAAGAGTGGCCCCTAGCAACAGCCCTGCCAGGAATGCTGCATCTTCATTTTTAACTCTCCCCAACCCCAGCAGAGTTCTATGCTACTTAAGGGGAGAGGGGCCGAAACCAGCACATTCAGTGAGAAGTAAATGTGGAGACACTTTGTTGGAAGTCAACTATCATCTCTCCAAACTCAAAATTGACAGTCTACCCTCCAGGGGGAACAAATGGATTTTTTTTCTTTGAGTATCAGAAAGGTCCCTGACTTGGATTTAGAGCCACATTTAAAAAAAACAACTGCATATTTTGTCCCTAAAATCGGGGTCAAGGGAGCGAGAAGCAGACAGAGAAACACAGGCCAGTGCAAGTTTAAGTTTCCTATCTCACAGGCAGCCACAGCAAGCTCACTGCCAGAGTGGAAAGGGTGACCACAGCCACAATCTTCCTTCAATGGTGACAATGCTAAATTGACCTGAGCCCTCTGCTCCTGGGAAAAAAATTATAGAGAAGAAGTCTTTCTCCACCCGTTTGTGTACTACCCACCAAGGACCCCAGTGCTCTTGCGTATTCTCAGAAATTGGTCCTTATGAGTCCCATGAGAGTCACGAACCCCTCATTTACCTGTCTTTTAACAGCCCCAGGTCCCTTCCTCTTCTTTGAGGCCAACCTCATGAATGAATGTTCTTCCTTCTCTCATAGCCAAAATCACATTATCTCCTTGATTGTGTGGTGCATTCTGTCTTTGACAGGAGTTATTGGTCTTATTAATGCTCTGCCTCTCTTTTTTTCCTCTGGCCAAATGTACAGAGTCAAAGTCACCTAGGTTAAATGCATGTATGACTATTGCTAAATATCCTTCTAGAGCAATCCTCAAGTGCCTGGGAGTAAACAGAAAGACTTAAGCAGAAGCCTTTAAAAACATGCATAATTTAGAAAACTTCTTTTGGAGTTGAAAAAGAAATGTGAGAAAAACACAGCCAGCTCTATGTTATTAGGGGCTGGAGACATGGGATCCACTGTCCTAAAGAGCCAGAAAGTCTGTTCTGTTAAACCAAAAGCTGGTTCATCCCCCAGTCTCGAAAGATGCAGCACCCATGCTGGCTCACCATGTCTTCTTGGTACCACCAGTTTCTGTCCTTTGAGGACATGGCCATATCTTGTCTCCCTTCAGAAAGCTCTCCCAGATTTCCCCAGCTCTTTCTCCTGTCCTCTGACATCCTAAAACCCTGCCTGGTCCAAAGGTTTGCAGGCACATCATACATATTACTGAATTTTAGTTATTTTTTCATCCCCACCTGTCTCCCTAGAGCATCACTTAAGGACCAAAGAGTAAGGGCTCTAGTATTCTTCTAAGCCCATCATCATGCCTAACCCGTCCTGACTCTGGAGACAGCCAGCCTCCAGCCATTTTGTATCCCCACTGTGTGTATCTTACTGGGTGTCCTCAATAGCTCTGGGGGCTCAGGGGGCTCTAGGTGTTAAGGGGCCACCCTCAGGAAGGTAGGACACATGGGGTCTGTGACTCTGTGGCATGATGAGAGGACCTCCAGGTGGTCTGTGTTTCCTCAGACTGGATGGTGCTACAGAAACCACAGAATGGTCCCACTGACCCTTCTCTGGTCCTCCGGAGCCCGACTGCTTCAGTTTAACAGCTTGGAGAATGAGGAGGGGGTGCCAGAGAGTTCAGCCAAGGGTACAGGTGGGGAGAGAGCCCTTAGGTAGAGCTGGTACTTCAGAAGGTGGCTCTGGTTTCAGGGTCAGCCTCTCCTATTTGAACATGTGGCATTCCCATGTGCAATCCCATTAGATTCTCAATGCTGCTTGCCCAGATGGGTAAGGCAGACACTGCAGTTCCCATCGGAGAGATGATGAACCTGAAGCTCAACAATGTCTCATGACCTCATCAAGAGCACTTGGGGGCATTCTGGTCAAGTTTGGCCTTGCTCAAATCGTCCTTCTCAGGACTGCTCCTCTCGCCCTACCCAACCCTGAGGACAAAGCCAGTGTTCACTATGGACCGGGCACTGTGCTAAGCATGTTAGAGGTCACATTTCATGTCATTTTCCTACTAGCCCTTGATAATGGCAGCAGGACCTTGCTGTATCAGCTGTCACTTGCCTGTCACCAGACCAGGGATGGCTTGGCATTTATGGTATCCTGCCAGTTCTGCACACTGGCATGAAGGGTACAGCAGGAAGGAAGAGTGACTGGGTCTCCCCTATAAACAGCCCTCAGGGCCTCCTCGCTGGGAAGCTAGTGGGTGTGTCGTTCATTGTTAAAATGAATGTTTATCTGGGGCAGGGTCTGTAACTACTGTCCCAGGCTATTAAACCTCTGACTGTAGCATCAACTGGCAGAGGGACAGGAAGGGGGCATTCTCATGCACAGAAAGAAAAGAGGAAGATGAGAAAAGTGAGACCGAATGGAGTGTCCTCACTTTCATTTATTTCTCCTCGAAGACTGAATTTCTAGTGCTCCTGCCAAAGGAACAAGCCACCAAGGAAAAAGCTACTTTTCAGATGCCTTAGAAAGTAAAAGCTCTAAACAGAATTTACCTATTACAATTCACCATCTCTACTCCCAAGCGCTGTTCAGGGGCCCATTGTGTTGCTTGGTCTGTGAAGACTCTCAATTGTCTGTTCCTTGCTTTCTGCCCTCCTATCTGCACTTTTGTGGCTTACCTTGTTCCTGGGACAGATCTGATGAGGTCCCTCTTCCAGGGAGGTTTTAGTAGGCCAGAGATCCTATAAGATCAAGGCCTCATTCCTGGGTCCTTTATTCTAATCTCACTCATTACTATAAGCACCAAGAAACCCTATTTATTCTATACTATGTAACTTTCCTGAAGGCCAACGTGTTTTCATCCCTTGATTTGGCTTATGTTAAAATGTCACAAGTTCTCATTCATTTGTCTGTCTGTCTTCTATCTATCTATCTATCTATCTATCTATCTATCTATCTATCTATCTATCATCTATCCATCCATTCAACAAGCTATTACTAAAAGCCTGATCTGTGATCTGGATCCTGGGAGTGCCCAGATTAGAAATGAGACTAAGTCTCGGAAATATTCAGAGCCCTGAAATACTGAATCTCCTTCCCTACCAAGACCCTGATTCTCTGCTGTTTTCAGGAATCCTATCTTTGCCCTCCTTAGGTGAAAGGAAATCTTTATTCTTTATAACCAATTCATCTTCAAGATGTTTCAAGAAGCCTTCCCTGATCCCTGAAGTACCATGTTGTTTTATTATATTATGCTTAATTACTTGTTCACTTATCTGTCACTTTCCCTAGACCAAATGTCTCTGCTTTGTGTCTAGCAGGTGCTCAAACAATGCCCTCCTACAGGAAGTGAAGTCTGAATGTGCTAAAACCTTTCCACCATGGACAGTGCATAATGGGACTGGCACTTCCTTCCAATCTTGCATCCATGAAGATCATTTTGATTAAATTGCTATGAAGGACCATGGCTGAAGTCTGAGTCACCCACAGCAGGTATCTCCTGGTTTAGGCAAGAATGACCTGGAGCGTCTCAAGGTAAACACTTCATGACGAGCAAACTATCCCGACAGCTTTCACACAAGGTAACTCAGTGAGGATAAATATGAACATCTCTGGTCCCTGTTTATAACTCCCTCTTCTTGTTCCACCCTGATGCCCACTATGTAGAATTGCCTCCACATTCCAAATGGCAAACAATTCCTGGTTTCACGCTAAGCAAATTTCAGCTAGTAAAGCTAATGGTTGCCATTTTCAATGGTGTTTCTTTATTTTGATAATAAAGAAATTAAAACAAAGATACAAGCCAACATATTTCTCCAAGTCCTTGTTGTATTGGTGGTTCTGGCCTAGGAAGGGAGTGATGTTCAGTGAGAATTTGTGCAGATGTGGGAGATACTTGTATTCTTGTTTTACTGTCCTTACCCCATCACCACTACATCCTTATGAAGAAACCAGCAAACCTTTTAACTCCCTGTTTCTCCATCATAGAATTCATCCTGATTTTCCAGAGCATTCTCCAAGCACCACTAGATGACCCTAGTGCACAGGCTTAGACCCTTGCCTCAGCCTTGGCACCAGGAGGAGGTGGCCCTTTGCACATGGTTCTTACCTCAGGAGCTATGTAGTCAGGAGTCCCGCAGAACGTGGTGGTCGTCACCCCATTTAGAATCCCTTCCTTGCACATCCCAAAGTCCGCCAGCTTGCAGTGGCCTTCTGCATCTAGAAGGATATTGTCCAGTTTCAAATCCCTGTAAGATAGGCGCAGACCACATGGTTACTGCCTCGCTCACCCTGACAGGATCTTCACGAGTTAGAGAGAGGTGTACATGCTCAAGACAATCTCTAGAAGAGAAACCTCTGCAGGAAGCTTGATGTACTTGACCCAACCCAACCTCAGCCTAAGGTAAGGGCTCTCTCCCACACGGGTCAATCCCCAGTGGGACCTTCATTTTCCTCAGCAAGAGGGAGACGCTCCCACCGCTCCAGGATATGTCAAGACTCCAACAGTTTAGAGTCTAAAGTCAGTTATTTAGACCCTGCTGTAAGAGAAAGCAGCAGCTTATCCTTCCTCCTTTTTTCATTAACTAGATGAAGTCACCATGTTGACACATATTATTATCAGGGAAGCAGATAATACAACCTAAGAATCAGGTGCTTCTTTGCAGGGCATGGGCCATAGGACCTGCTGGGCTTCAGAAGGGGAGCCCATGGAGAGCTGGTGCAGACAGTGAGGGCTTCTCAAGAAAAGCTTATGTGGGGACTAATCTTTGGATAGACTATGAAGAGGAAATTCGAGGGAGAAGAGGTAGAAGCAAAAGGTGGTGTGCAGAACAGAGAACTGGGGCTGGAGAACAGAACAGCCAGGCAAGACAGGTAGGTTGGGATCAACCTCAAAGAGCCTCTGATGATAGGAAGGAGTTTGAAATCTGTGCCAAAAGCAATGTGAGCCCCGCCCACAGGAGCACGATGTATGTGAACATCAGTCTTTGGGGGCAGAAGCCTGAGAGGAGCCTTCCTGCTGCAGGAAGAAAGGTCCTCCAGGGCCCTTTGGTTCTGTGCAGGAGGTGAGGGCTATGGGGCATGCTGCTCCAACCAATGTGGCTCCCATGTGGCTTGTTTTACACTTTGGGTTCTATATAAAGTCTCATGCAAAATCCGAAGTTTCAGTGAAGAATTTCCTTACCACCCAAGCCTGGGCCTTAAGAAGAATCCAGACTGTCCGGAAGGAGAGGCCCTTCCTGGGCCACCTTCAGCAGCCACTCTGGGGTGGGGTGGACCTTGCTGGGGAGAAGGAATGCCCATTCTTTTACATGCAGAGGTTGGGAAGGGCCATGGTCATAAGCTTGCTGGCATCTGGCCTTGAACTCCAGCCACTGCCAGGGACCCGGGTCTGAGTGCAGAGGCGGGGCAGGAAGCACCTTAGGACCTGCCTGCTTCCATCCATGGCCTTGTTTCTGCTTACAGCTGTACGCCTTGAGAAAAAAGTGAGCACAGCAAATGTACTGCTCTAAGAAAATACTTGTAAACTGAAAAAAGAATACTGAGCCCAACCAAGTCCAGGGCCAGCTTCTCCAACCCCTCTCTGGCTCTGTGTGTGGCCAAGGCTTGGCTCTGGCTAGAGATGGGACAGCAGGGATCAATGCCCAGCTGGGGTTTTGCCACTAGCCATGGCATGGCTCTGGTCACCTTTCTGTGCTGTTCCTTGATCTGTGAAACTGGGATAACATACTGCTTGTAGGCTTGCTTGAAGGACTAAAGGGCTCAAGTATGTGAAGCTGAAGGTCACTGACATCGCTCCACTCGCTTCCTTCATGAGGAATCTGAGTTGTGAGGAAGCTGTTTGCCTACTTGCAAATGTTCCCTCAATGGGAGGCTGACCGTTGGGCCTGGCTGAGACACATGCTCCTTTGTGCCCTGGAATCCAGAATTGCCTTTCCAAGGTTTACACAGCATGCATGGCAATCAGAGTAACAACAGTAACTGCAGAAGTAACAAGAGCAATGCTTCTTTATGTGGAAAGCACCCTGTGACTTAAAATCATTTGTCCTGAATACCACAGTCAGTTAGGAAGGGCACACACTCGGCTGTCATGCTAACCCTGAGGAAGTAAGTAAATGGAAGCAGGAAGAAGGTAAGTGATTTTGTGTCTGTGTGTGTGTGTGTGTGTGTGTGTGTGGTTTTTTGAGGCAGGGTCTCATTGTGTAGTTGAGACTGACCTGGAACTCACTATGTAGCCCAGGCTGGTCTCGAACTCACAGCGATCCTCCTGCCTCAGCCTCCCAAGTGCTG